GCTGGTCTTAGGGACCAGCCACGAAGGCCCCTTTTATCCCTCGGGCACGTGCTTGGCCCCCACTGAGCATGCCAGCCGTAGGGCCACGCAGTCCTACAGGATGTGATGTTCAGATCCACTGGAAAGTAGCATCTTGTTTGAGCTTCCTTGTGTTTTCAGCCAGTCGATCAGCCTTAGATTGTCTTTTTCTCTCCTTAGAACATTTTTATTCAGTGATTTAGGTTCTTCCAGGTCAGCCGGGAGCAGTGTTGTGATGGAGGGTCTAGGCCCTGAGCTGCAGCACCATCAGTGCCCAGCTCCAGAGCTGCGCGCAGGGGGGCCGTGTGTGCCTTGGGCAGCCCCGGGGGCAAGGGGCGGAGTGTGGGCCTCCTGGCCTGGGCAGAGCCCCTGGGAGCCCAGAAAGGGGCAGAACAGATGTGTGCAGGCTCCCTGCCAGGTCGTCCTCCCCCCACAGGGTCCCCACTCCCTCCTGTGCCACCACATCACTTTCCAACTTGAAGCACCGCATTAGTTCTGATCTCAGGAAGCAGGGAGGGCGATCCCTTAACCCAACCCCGGTGTCCACACCACCGGGCTCTCCTGCGAGCAGCCTGAAGGTGCCTCCACCTCCACACCGATGATGCTTTGGGCTGATCATTCTCTGTCATGGGCTGTCCTGTGGTTTGTTGGATGTTTAACGGCATCCCTGGCCTCCACCCACCAGGAGCCCCTTCCCCCAGCTGTGACAACCAGATGTCTCAAGATATTACACGTGTCCCCTGGGGGCACAGTTGCGCAGTTGAGAACCTCTGGGCTGCCTGCTCTGCAGCATCTTCTCTGCCCAGTCACCAGGTGATTCTCCCAGCATGCCCCACCGCAGAGACTACAGGAGCTTCCGCCTTGCTCAGGGTGGACGCTCGGGTCCTTCCCTGGTACTTTCTCTGAGGCCCGAGACACCCGGCGTTGCCTCCTGCTCACTGTGCTGTCACAGCCTCTGCTGGTCATTAAACACTCCAGGCACATGCCACTGGGTCTTGGGGACAGCTTTCTTGTCTGCTTGGCAAGGTCCCTCCCTTAATACACTCAGATCTCTGGTCACATGTCACCTTGGAATGGCCTTTCTTGATCACCCACTTAAAATAACTCACTCGTGCTCACCTCCCACTTCCAGTCACTCCCGCATACATCGCCCAGTAGTGCCTTGATTTTCTGTGTGGCACATGGCACCGCCTGATCTGTGTGTGTGTGTGTGTGTGTGTGTGTGTGTGCGTGCACGATTGTATGTGCACATGCACACACGCGAGTAGCTATCTGTTCCTGTGCTTCACTGAACGGAAGCTGAGTCAGAGCAGGACCTGTCTCAGCAGTGCCTGTTCTTGAAGGCTGGCTCCCCCACCCGCAAAGGTGCAAGAATTCCCCGCCCCCCATGGGGAGCAGGTATGTTGTTTGCTACTCCTGTTTCCAGAGGAGGCAATGGAAGCAAAGGACGTGTGTTCTTGGATTCCACCAGGCACATCCCTCAGACACATCCCAAAAGTGTCTAAGCACAGGGAATTAATTATTATACCTAGTATCTTATAATAACCTATAATAAATATAATGTACCAAGAAAAAAACTCACAAAAACAAATCTCTGTGCCATACACTTGAAACTAACACAGGATTGCAAACCAGCTGTTGTTGCCTTTGTTCAGTGGCCAAGTTGTATCCGACCCTTTGCAACCCCATGGACTGCAGCACGCCAGGCTTCCCTGTCCCCCACCATCTCCTAGAGTTTGCCCAGCTTCGTATTCATTGAATCGGTGCTGCCATCCAGCCATCTCATCCTGTGTCACTGTCTTCTCCTCCTGCCCCTCAATCTTTCCAAAGTAATGCATGTTCATTTCACAAACCACCTGTAGCCCCTCTTCACTCAGACACTGGTCATTTTGGTGTGTTGTGTTGTCTTTTTTTTCTGTTAAGAAACCTCTGACAGCTACAACTCTCCTCCAGAAATGTTAAACCATGGTTGACCACCTCAGAGCTTGTTCAGAAGTCTAGAGCTGATGATGATAAAAAAAAGATCCACCCACCTTCCACCTCAGACCCCACCCTGGTGACTTTAAAAACTGCATCAGAGTGCCCCCAGCAGAGAAGGAGACTGTGTGTGCCTTAGTTTCCCTCTGAGCCTGGCAGTTTCCTGGAGCGGGCGGAGCGCCTCCTGGTGTCGGCCCGTGTCTGGCACCTGTGGTCCGGGTACCGGATCTCTGGAGGGCGGGAGGAGCAGAGGGCACTCTGCTGAGAGACCAGGGGGCTTCTCCCACCCAGCGGCCCTGGTGGATGCTCTGGGGCCCTCAGGACATCCGCCGTCTGAAAGCATGACAGCTGCCTGCCAAGTGCTCCAGAAATGAACAGAGCAGTCACTGCTTTTACAAGAAGAGCGAGGATTACTGTCTTGCAGAGTGCATGGAGCTACCAGAGATGCGTTCTGCTCCGTTCTTGTCTCTACAGCTCTGGGAAGGGAGGAGCTTTCTATGTGGTTAAGAGAATGGACTCGAGCTGGACTGCCTGAGTTCAAGTCCAGGCTGTACCACTTGGGAGCCGTGTGACCCTGCACGCATGATTCATCAGCTCTTTGTCTAGACTCCTCCTCTGTACGGCCAGGATGGTGTACTGATTCCGCAGAGTTGTGGAGGATTTCTCCGGTTAAAACACTTGAACTGCTTGAAGACCGCGTGTGCATGGAGCGTGACACACACCAGGTGTGCTGTCGCTGTGAGGAGAGGCCTCCAGAGCAGGGGTTCCTTCCAGAGCCTGCGAGATGCCGGGCGCACGTGCCCGGGGCAGGGAGAGGCGAGGAGGACCAGGGGAAGGCCCGGTCCGGGCCTGGTGTGGGGGCACGCGGGCGCCCAGGAGGTAACGCTGTGGAGCAGAGAGGAGAGCCTGGCGGGTCGTCCTGCCTCCCAGGCGTCCCGTGCTCTGCTTCTGGGAGCCCCAGGGGAGGGCACACAGGCGGAGTCGTGGCCCCGGCGCCCCGCTCTCCTCCCTGCCATCCCTGCCGCTCCCACTCAGCACGCGCTGTGTCATTCTCATTGTTCTGCTGGATGAGAAGAGTCTGGAGCCCCGGCTTCACGGCGGGGGGGGGGGGGGGGGGGGGGAGGCAGGCTCTGGCAGGAGGCCGAGTGCAGGTCGGGAGAGCCCCACCCTGGGCGTGTCGGCTCCCCAGGCCCCCACCCCCCGGGAACTCGGGGACCCGCCTGCCCCACATCCTGTCAGCACTTCCACAAGGGGAGGAAGGAGAAAGCCCCCCCCCCCCGGGGGCCTGACCGTGATGCCAGCTTTCACAAGCTCTGGCCTCAGCATCCCCTCCGCCCGCGGGGGTAGCGGGGCTGGGCCATGTCCCCGCCGGGACTGCACTGACTCGGGGTCTGCACCGAGCCACTCCCATCCTTTCCCCAGGGCGCTCTCGGGGACTGACCCCAATGCAAGGTGGGGCTGCTGTACCTCACAGCCAGACGCAGGGTCGCCTCCCGCCCCTCACTCACAGCCCCTCTCCCAGAAGGCTTCCCCTCGCTGCAACTCCTGGTTTCCATGGCAACTTGGAAAGACCTGTAGTTGTGGTCTTTTGAAGTCTAAAATGGGAGCAGAGGTTTGAGATGGAGCGGGACAGTACTGAAAATACCATGTCCTACCCGGGGATTTGGACCCAGAGGGTTAGAGGACGGGATTGCTTGAATTAGAAAAACGGGCACCATCATTCCAGTACCTTCTTGGCAGAGTTCCACGTGGCCCCTCGAAGCCTGCTGGGGTCTCAGATCCTGAACTTGGGGTCGTCAGCCTGCACCTGGGGGCAGCGGAGGCCGGTGGAGTGATCTTAGTGGGCTTCGACTGCGTGCTTCCTATGAGCCAGGCGCCCAGTGGCCGTCTGCTTTCACTGCCTTGTGAATCTTCTGAGCCCCGGGGGCTGCAGTGCCGTCTCCTCTCGGGTGAAGGTCTGCTGTGCCTAACCCAGGGCTCCCTCCCTGTGGGAGCATCTCGGTCGCCTGTTGGTGGCGGGCCCGTTGCTCCTGCTTTCCTTGTTTCATAAGTCACATCGCATGGATGCTGGGGTTTCGGTGACTTTGAGCCTGTCTCCCTTTTCAGTACCTCAGGCCGCCTCATGGCGGTCGCCTTTCCAGGCCCCCGGTTCTGCGGTGGAGAGAGTGACCCTGAGGGGGTCTTCAGCTGGGTGTCTGTGGGAACGGCTCCTCCCCGCTCCTCGTTTGGGGTCTTGGAGGTTCTGAGCTAGGGAGGTGGTCAGTCCCAGAGGGCCCCCCCCTTCCCCAGGACACAGTGAAGAACCCCAGAAGAGCCGCCCCAGGCTTGGCGGGCCAGTGCAGAAGGTGGGCTGGCTCAGTGGAGAAGCGTCAGGCTGTTGTGGGGATCCTTGGCGGGGGTGGGGGGTTGGGGGTGGGGGACAGTCATGCAGGGGAGGGGTCAGCACTTGCTGTGGAGCCGGCTGGGCTCCAGAAGCCGGCATCCTGAGTTACTCAGCAGCCTGCAGTCCTCCGCGGGGCCGTCGATAGGAGCAGGCTGCAGCTGGCCGGGCAGGATAGCCCAGATTAGAAGGTGGTGCGGCTGATAGCTGCCTCGGGGTGCTCCCTGGCCCTGCATCACGCTCCTCCTCCAGCCCACCCTCCCCAGCACCCAGCAGCAGGGGCGCGGGGCAGGCAGAGGCAGAGGGAGGACTCCACTCACAGCAGAATGTTTTGCTCTGGTTTAAGTGAGGCTTTCCATGGTCTATCGCTTAGCCACCCTTTCCAGTGTGATCAGTTCCTTTCGGTGAGCCTGACAGTCGCCTTGGACCGGGGAGGCCGCTCCTGGTCTGTCCCTGATCGGAGTGCGGCCCTGTCCTCCGACCCGGGTGCCGGGGAGGGGCACGTGGGACTTGGGGTTTTGCACTTGGCTGCACGTAGTGAAGCGTTGCTGCACTGCGGAGCTGAGAGGAGACCGTACCCCGTGTGACTGGACGCCAAGCTCTCTCTCTCTGCTCTCTGTTCCAGCTGAAGCTCGAGGACCGCTCCGTGGTGCCCCGCGATGTGGTCCGGCACATGCGCTCCACTGTGAGTCCCTGCCCCACCGGCGGGCGTGGCCTGGGGCAGCTCGGGGCGGGTCTGGGGGGCCCCCAGGGCGCCTGCGAGGGCCTGGATGCCTTCTCGCCCGCAGGACAGCCAGTGCGGCACCGTGATCGACGTGAACATCGACTGCGCCGTCAAGCTCATCGGCACCAACTGCATCGTCTACCCTGTCAACAGCAAGGACCTGCAGCACATCTGGGTGAGCCTCCTGCCGACCTCCCGTCGCAGGGCTCTGCTTCCCTCCAGGCCGAGCGGCCAAGCCCAGGGCTCGGCCTCTCCTTGCGGCCTGATGGTGCTTCTGACTTGAGGTCAGGTGGTGCTTTATGTCTCCAGCAGACACGGCTGGTTTCCTTTCTCTTCTAAGACTTTTTGTCGTTTTTGAAACAAATTTTTTTTTTCGATAGTTTATTTATGTTTTTAAGATTCCAAACTTACTGCAAGCTGTAGGTACCAGTGTCTCCTGCAGCGTCGGGATTCCTCAGCTGGTGACGTGTCGCCGCGTCAGCACCTGCGCCTGTCTGTCCTCCCTCTTGCCCACCCCTCTCTCCCTCCCTCTCTCTTTTCTCCTCTTTTCTGAAACTTTATTTTTAACCTTTTTTTTGGCCACACCGTGCAGCATGTGAGATCTTAGTTCCCTGACCAGGGATTGATCCCGTGCCTGCTACATTGGCTGTATGTTAACAACTGGAGGGCCAGGGAAGTCCCCGCTTTTCTGAAACATCTGAAAGCAAGCTACAAATATGATGCTGTATGCCCCCTAAGTACTAAGTGTGTATATTCCCAAAACAGAAACACTCTCCTATTTAACCACCATTCAAACCCCCAGATTAGGACCTTAACCCATTACTGTCCATCCACAGACCCCACTCAGTTGTCCCAACAATCTCTGTTTTCCCCTGCTGACCCGGACTCCATCAGGAGCACACACTCAGTCGTCAGCTCTTTGATCTCCCCCAGGCTGGAGCGGTTCCCAGTCCTGCTTTGTCTCCCTGTCCCGGGTGACCCTGAGCATGGGGCCATCTACAGTGCCCACGACAGCCTCGGGCCCCGTGCTTTTGGCAGAACTGCCCCAGAAGTGCTGCTCAGCTCTTCCCTGGCCCGGAGCATGCCTCGGCCGCAGTGTGGGGACGTTCTCTTTGCTCCCCAGTCGTGTTGAGCTCTGCTGAGCCGCCTCCCAACAAAGTCAGAATTCACCCCTTGGCCAGTGATTGTATTGGTTTTGTGGGGAGATATTCCGGGATTGTGTCAATAAACTGGTGCTTCTCAACCCCCATCCACCAGCCTTAGCCTCCATTAAGAATTCCCACCTGACCCAGCCAGAGTTCTGATGGCTGCTAAATGCTGATTTCACGACACCATCACTGCCTGGCTTTGTTATGAGTTTGGCATTCTACCATATGGAAGAGCTGTACTTTCTGTCCCATTTATTTCTGCATTTTTTGCATCAGATGCAGAGACTCCTGTTTTATTCATTGGTTGTAATCCGTTACTTGTTTTGTTGCTTCAGTGATCCCACCCAGATTTGGCCAGTAGGAACCCCTTCAAGCTGGCACCTGTGCTCTTTCGACATGTCTCCACTATTTTTTTTCAAAACACTTCCTTACTTTCCATATCATATTATTTCTGATCCAGCCTAGAATCAGCCGTTTGTTCCGAGAGCCCTAGTTTCTTTCAGAAGCCACGGTCTGGGTGCAAGCTGGGTGTGCTAATTGCTCCTGGGCCCCACTCAGGGCAGCCCTAGGGAATCCACGTATGTGTATGTAGGTGGGTACGCACACACGTCTAAATATGCCTGTGCCCATCCTGTGTACGTATTGAGATGTGTGAGTTCATCTTGACCCCTCTGACCCCAGTCCAGCTCCTCTCTCTTCCCCTGCCTGTGTTAGTGATTGTGTCCCCAGTAGGGAGAGACTTGGCTCTTGATGTCCTCCGTATAGTTATCTGTTTATTTAAATCACTTTACTGTGTAACCACCCACCCCAGCCCACTCCCACTCACTGTCCTGTGTCCTCGGAAGGCTGTCCAGCCTCTGCCGCTGTGGGGGCGAGCTGCTGGGGACTCTTGGGGGAAGCTTGCTGCGAAGTTACTAGGTCCGACCCATGCGGAGCCTTCCTGCCCTGTCTGTGGGGCCAAGAGGAACGGGGGTCCCGGACACCAGAGTCCTCCATCGTCTCACCACCTGTCTTCCTGGTCTGCAGCCCTTCATGTACGGGGACTACATCGCCTACGACTGCTGGCTGGGCAAGGTCTACGACCTGAAGAACCAGATCATCCTGAAACTGTCCAACGGCGCCAGGTACGGTCTCCCCACCACGCAGGAGCCCTCACGGGGCGGGGGCAGCCGGGCAAGGGGCCAGGGGTGTGTTCTAGGTCCCGCGAGGGCCGTGCCAGGGGCTGTGGGCCTCGAGTCTCAGGGCCCGACCCCGGGCTGGTCTCCTTGTCAGCCTGGCCGGATTCTCCGGCTCAGTTCCCGGTCTTCCCTCTACCCTGGCTTGGGGAGACCCTCATCGTCACGTAGGACCCGCAGGAGGGGCTGATGTTCTCCTTTAGGCACGTTAATGGGGTGAACGCTGAGATCTGCTGGCTGGGTCCTATTTGTTTGAGAGAGTTCCTTATTCCAGTGCAGGGACTGAGGTGTGGGCGGAGGGTGAATTTCCCATTTTAAGGTTGGTGGAGGCACTGACGCCTCCGGACAAGTCCTGTAGACTCACTGACCAGCTCCTTACGGGGTCCTGGCTGCCTCGCCTGCCCTGGAGACCCAGGCACCGGGTCCGGTGCCCACCAAGCCCCCGCCCCCTCTTGTAGGTGCTCCATGAACACAGAGGACGGCGCCAAGCTCTACGACGTCTGCCCGCACGTCAGCGACTCTGTACGTTGGCTCCACCCCAGGAGCCTGGGGTCGGTGGGGGCACACCTCCTGTTCCTCAGCCCTGGGCTCTGCCGGAGCGGGGCTCGGGCTTCTCGGCAGAGAGCCGGGGGCTGGCCCCAGACCGACTGCCATGCCTCGGCCAGGGCTTTCCTGGAAGGAGGGGTTGTGTATCAGAAGGTGTAAAAGCTTGGATGTTTGCAGGAAGCCATAGAACTTCCTTTGCATTTTGTTAACTTTTTATTTCATCCTTTTAAAATCTCCCTTTTTCTTGGAGTGGACATTTTAGAGCAGTGGTACATGACAGTTTGTAAGTAATACTAGGAGAGTGTGTGTGATCAAGCAGGTGTGGGGACCCCCGCCCTTAGAGCTTTGTCCCCCCAGACCAGCAGCATTGTTGTGGCCCGAGAGCGTGTTAGAATGGGTCAGCCGTGCCTTTTAGTGAGTAAAACCCCTGGTGGTTGTGTGCCTCTGAGGTCTGAGAGGTGCTGCTCTGCAGTCTTAGGAGGTGTGGAGCACAGAGGCCTGGGGTGGACAGCAGGCGCAGAGTAGGGGGTGCAGGTGTGGACAGTGCTCCCCCACCCCCGAGGAGGCAGCACTCACAGGGACCCTCCTCTGGCCCCCAATCCTGCAGGGTCTCTTCTTCGATGATTCCTATGGCTTCTACCCAGGCCAGGTGCTCATTGGCCCTGCTAAGATCTTCTCCAGTGTCCAGTGGCTGTCAGGCGTCAAGCCGGTGCTCAGCGCCAAGAGCAAGTTCCGTGTGGTGGTTGAAGAGGTAGGGAGAAGGCGGGGCGGGGAGTCCGGGCTGAACGAAGTCGGGGGTGGCCAGTGGCAGGTCCGCTGGGCCCTTCTGGAGGGGAGGAGGCCTCCGTGACCTCTGGGAGGGTCTGAACTACAATGAACTGCTCTGGAGAACAGCTGCAGAAAGTGAGGGGCATTAGAGTCAGCTGACTGGGGCCCTGCCCACCCCCCTTCCCAGGTGCAGGTTGTAGAGCTGAAGGTCACCTGGATTACCAAGAGCTTCTGTCCAGGGGGCACGGACAGCGTCAGCCCCCCGCCCTCTGTCATCACCCAGGAAAACCTAGGCAGGTGAGCGGCCCCAGCTCGCCCCCTGCCCCAGCACCCTCAGAGGTGGTCCCCAAGCAAGTCTCTGGGCCAGCGTCACAGATGCCAAGGGGAGGGGTTGCCGAGGACTCCCTCACCCAGCGCCTGCCTCTCCCGTCTCCCCTCTCTTCTCCCAGGGTGAAGCGTCTCGGATGCTTTGACCATGCTCAGCGGCAGCTTGGGGAGCGCTGTCTGTATGTCTTCCCAGCCAAGGTAGAGCCGGCCAAGATTGCCTGTGAATGTCCAGAAAAACACTGCGCCCAGGGGGAGGGCTCTATGGCCAAGAAGGTATGTCCTCGGGGTTGGGGCTTGGCGGGCGTTTGAGGAACTGGCCTTGAGCCATTTCCACAGCAGGAAGGTCTGTGCTTTAGGCCTTGGGGGGCAGCCCTGACGACCCTTGCAGGCCAGTTAGGTGTGAACAGACGTCACCCCTCAACTGAGCTGTCCAGGGTCAGCTCTCCATGGCGCCCGCCCTCCCGCTCTGCCGGCAGGTGAAGCGCCTCCTGAAGAAGCAGCTTGTGAGGATCACGTCTTGCTCCCCGGACGTCCAGTGTTCCAGGGACCATTCCGTGGAGGATGCAGGCAAGAAGGGGGCGGCCAAAGCCAAGAGCGAAACAGGCTCCGCCAGCCCCGAGGAGACGCCCGATGGGTCCTCCAGCCCAGTGGAGATGCAGGACGAGGGCCCAGAGGAGGCCCACGAGGCGGGCGAGCAGCTGCCCCCCTTCCTGCTGAAGGAGGGCGGGGACGACAGGCTGCACTCGGCCGAGCAGGACGCCGACGACGAGGCTGCAGACGACACGGATGACACCAGCTCGGTGACCTCCTCCGCCAGCTCCACCACCTCCTCCCAGAGCGGCAGCGGCACGAGTCGCAAGAAGAGCATCCCCTTGTCAATCAAGAACTTAAAGCGGAAACACAAGAGGAAGAAGAATAAAATCACGCGCGACTTCAAGCCGGGGGACAGGTAGACTCAGGGGCACCCTCTTTCCCAGCTGGGTGTCCATCCCGAGACCATTTCCTGGCACCCACATGCACACGGGCTCACACGCGGTCTGCAAGCCCTGTGCAGGCTCAGGGGTGCCGGGGTCGGCCAGGTGGGATGGAAGGATCTGAGAACGGGAAAGGGCGAGACCAGGGTGGAGGGATTCTCCTGGAGGAGGCGCTGGGCATGGAGACTGCAGGGGAGCAACTCTGTCTCCTCCCTCCTGCCTGAGGCCGAGCTCCAAGTTACCAAGCCCACAGGGAGGGTGGGTGGGGAGGGAGCGTCCCTGGCCTTTGCTCACTGGCCCGCCTGCAGGGTGGCCGTGGAGGTGGTGACCACGATGACCTCGGCGGACGTGATGTGGCAGGACGGCTCTGTGGAGTGCAACATCCGCTCCAACGACCTCTTCCCGGTGCACCACCTGGACAACAACGAGTTCTGCCCCGGAGACTTCGTGGTGGACAAGCGAGGTAGTGCCGGGCAGAGCTCAGGAGGAAGGGTCACAAGGTCTGGCATCAGGCCTCCCCTGGGAGGTGGCTCCCGCTTTTGTAGTCCAGGGCAGCCTTTCTGGCCTCCTCTGACCAAGCCAGGGAAGCAGTGGGTCCTGGGCCCCTATGCTGGACGTGCAGCTGGTGGGGGGGGCGGTTGGTGGCCCCACCGGGGTGCCTTAGCTCACCCCTCCCCCGCGCTGGGTCCACAGTCCAGAGCTGTCCGGACCCCGCTGTCTACGGCGTGGTGCAGTCTGGGGACCACGTGGGCCGCACGTGCATGGTGAAGTGGTTCAAGCTGCGGCCTAGCGGGGATGATGTGGAGGTGAGCGGGGGCGCCCCCGTGTCTCCTTCAGGGTGGGTTGTGGTGAGCTGGACGTAGAGCTCCCTGGGCTCACGACCGCCCATCCCGCCCCAGCTGATTGGAGAGGAGGAAGACGTGAGCGTCTACGACATCGCCGATCACCCTGACTTCCGGTTCCGCACGACCGACATCGTCATCCGAATCGGGAACACTGAGGACGGAGCCCCGCACAAGGAGGACGAGGTAGGGCGTCCTGCGCTTCCGCTGCAGTACCTGTCGGTGCCGCCAGGGGGCCTGGGTGTCCGCCCCGCCCCCTGTAGGGCCTCCTGCCGTCCGCACAGGGTCCTCAGAGCTGCTCCCCAGGCTCCACGGGTTATTTCTCAGGGGTGCACAGCCCCGTGCTCAGTGCCGTGAGGGTGGTGGCAGGTGCCGTAGGAGCACAGGAGAGGCCTGAGGAGGTGACTCTGAGCTGGGCCCCAGGGAACAGGTGGGGACATGGCAGTGAGGTCAGGCAGATTCTGGGCAGAGGAGGAAGGGGGACCAGAGTCCCAAGGCTGGAGCCTCATCCGGGGAGCGTCCAGAGAGACCAGGCTCAGTGGACAGCGAGTGCTGGGGGTGTTTCAGCCAGAGGGTCGTGCTCTCAGTACTCACGGTGGTCTCTGGCCGGCGCCCACATCGCTTCCATTCTCACGGCCACGCCTCTGCCCTCACCCTTGGAGAGCTGCCCCTCTGACCCCGTCCTGTTTGCCCTGCAGCCATCGGTGGGCCAGGTAGCCCGAGTGGACGTCAGCAGCAAAGTGGAGGTGGTGTGGGCTGACAACTCAAAGACCATCATCCTGCCCCAGGTGAGACTCCTGGGAGCCCATGGCTCAGCTCCAGACTCTGGCAGCCAGGCTGAGGGTTCAGGTCTTCCTGGCGAAGGAATCTTCTCTTGGGAAGCAGGGTCTTGGGGAAAGGAAGGGCAGTGTTAGACCCAGAGCCCCAGGTGAGAGTCGTGAGAGCGGAGTGGCTGCCCACAGTGGGCCTGACCATCCCGCCCCACCCGGCGGGCTCCTGGTTGCCAGGCACGTCTAGGTTCTCACAGATCTAGCTGGATCCCTATCTCACTGCACTGAGAATGCACAGGTTGCACCCTGTAAGAAACATCCTTCCCCCAACACTTCTAGGAAACTGTCACAGATCAGGGGGAAGGAATGAACAGGGCTTTCGTGGCTCCATTTCTGTGCCCCCTCGTTTGATCTGATGCTCACACCCCAGCTTCCCTCTCTGGCGCCAGTACAGGATGGACGAGGGTGTGGCTCCCCCTTCGTCTAGGAGGCCATTCCAGGAACGGGAACAGAGTCACAGAGTCTGCCATGGTCCAGCGGGCCAAGTGCACTCAGTGGCAAGGAGGCTGGAACTGGCATTTGCTGGGCCCTGGACCCATGGGCTGAGCTGGGTGGCAGGGGTGCCTCCCAGAGGCCTAGGGACCACCTAGCGCAGAGGCCCAACCACGAGGCCAGAGCAGGAAAGGGGGGAAGGGTGGCAGGGCCACTGAGGCCTCAGGGCATCCAGTCACCGTCAGCTCTGAGGCTCAGGGTCCCCCGCAGGGGGCCTCTGACCAGCCCGCGCCCCGTCTCCCCTCAGCACCTGTACAACATCGAGTCTGAGATCGAGGAGTCTGACTACGACTCGGTGGAAGGCAGCACCAGCGGGGCGTCCTCAGACGAGTGGGAAGACGACAGTGACAGCTGGGAGACGGACAATGGGCTGGTGGAGGATGAGCACCCCAAGATAGAGGAGCCCCCCATCCCCACTGCAGAGCAGCCGGCAGCCCCCGAGGAGGACAAGGGCGTGGTGATCAGCGAGGAGGCTGCCACGGCCGCCATCCAGGGGGCCGTGGCCATGGCTGCCCCCGTGGCTGGGCTGATGGAGAAGGCTGGCAAGGACGGGCCCCCGAAGAGCTTCCGGGAGCTGAAGGAGGCCATCAAGATCCTGGAGAGCCTCAAAAACATGACGGTGGAGCAGTTGCTGACGGGCTCACCCACCTCCCCCACGGCGGAGCCTGAGAAACCCACGCGGGAGAAGAAGTTCCTGGATGACATCAAGAAGCTGCAGGAGAACCTCAAGAAGACCCTGGACAACGTGGCCATCGCTGAGGAGGAGAAGATGGAGGCGGTGCCGGAGACGGAGCGCAAGGAGGAGAAGCCCGAGGGGCCGTCGCCGGTGAAGGCCGAGTGGCCCAGCGAGACCCCAGTGCTCTGCCAGCAGTGCGGCGGCAAGCCCGGCGTCACCTTCACCAGTGCCAAGGGCGAGGTCTTCTCGGTGCTGGAGTTCGCGCCCTGTGAGTTCGCCCGGCCTGCACTCCAGGCCCAGGGCCAGGGCACCGTGTCCCTGGAGTGGGCACCAGTCCCCGTGCCAGAAGAGGGTGGGTGAGGGTGTGTGTGGCTTTGCCCACCCATCTGGGGATCACGTTCAGCCACCGCTGCCCCTCCGGGTTGTGTTCCCAGGCCTCACCAGAGGGACTGACCCTGCCCTTTCCCCCTCTAGCAAATCACTCTTTTAAGAAAATTGAGTTCCAGCCTCCAGAAGCCAAGAAGTTCTTCAGCACAGTGCGGAAGGAGATGGCGCTGCTGGCCACCTCGCTGCCCGATGGCATCATGGTCAAGACATTTGAGGACAGAATGGCAAGTAGGCGGGCGTGGGCAGGCATGGGCATCGGGGTGGGCGCCCAGGAGGCTGCAGCCTTGGGCCCTGGGCCTGCAGGCCTGGGGGGCACCCGCGAGGCCGCCTGCCTGCAGCCCCTCAGAGGGCAGGAGAGGCTCCAACAAGACTCCCACAGCTGTGTCTAGACCAGACAGCCATCTTTTTAAAGCTTGGTTTAGAATTACATAATACTTTACTTGACTTTTCTCTTTTTTTGAAAAATTAGAATGTTGTTACAGGAAAGGCTGCATTCTCCTTTGACCGGTCCCTGCCCCGCCTCCGGGCAGTGACTTCAGGAGTCTCATAGTTCTCCTACAGATGACCCTCCACGTTTACGCGTTCGTGCATTGCCACAAACACAGGCTTTTTAGTAGGATTTGTCCCACAAGGCTAGCATGTCATCATCTGTAACTTGCTCATCACTCAACAGGATAAATTTTGAAACCTACCCATGTTGAATGACAACCATGTAGTTCATTGATTTTAGCTCCAGGACAGTATCACCTCACCTGGCCACGTCCCACTCCATTTGCTGGTCTTGTTTGTGACCTGTTTGAGTCACACTGGTGGAGGTGTGTGAGCGCTTCCTTGTTGGTCCCAGGAAGAGCGAGGCAGTCCGTCTGCCACCTTGTTTGTTCAGCTGGGCCGTGTCCTGTGCCAGGCACCGTGCGAGACCCTGAATTTGGGTCTGAAGCCTCACCTCCGGCCCAGCCCTGGAGAAAGGGACCACAGAAAAGGATGCAGTGGGAACGGGCCTGCCGGCACTCGCACTGGTCCACTCGGCCCTGGCAGACTCTCAGCTGGCAGCTCACCCGGCAATGGCACCCTCGCCCCAGCCCTCAGCCTGGGTCTCTGATGTGTATGGAGAGTCCCTTTAATGACTGAAGGAGCATTTTCCCCCGAGTTCAAATCCTCTCATCCCTCTACTTCCCTCGAAGCCAGTGCAGCCTTGCCATCCTGGATGTTCTTTCCTCTTATTGGTTGTCACTGTTGCTGCTTTCACTGCGGGGAGGTGGAGGGGTAGGTCACAGTGGTGTTTTGAGGAATGCAAGTTATAAGTAGTAGTTTATTAAAAAAAAAAAAAACCTGGTAAGATAAAAACCAGTTTGGAAAATTCCTTTCATGCCAGGAGTTAAGAGGTGCCAAGTAGGTCTGCACAGCGATGTCTGCGTTCAGCTTCTCTCGCTGTCCACGGGTGTCCGGATCCTGGGGCCGCTCCCTCTCCCACTGCAGCCCCATGGCGCCCTGGAAGAGTCTGGAAGCAGGTGCCATGTGCGGGTGCCTGCTGCCCACATCAGCCTCCCCGCTCCCTCCCCCTGCCCCCCTCTAGGACCTCTTCTCGGCCCTGATCAAGGGCCCCACTCGCACCCCGTACGAGGACGGCCTCTACCTGTTCGACATCCAGCTGCCCAACATCTACCCGGCCGTGCCCCCCCACTTCTGCTACCTCTCCCAGTGCAGTGGCCGCCTGAACCCCAACCTGTATGACAATGGGAAGGTGTGCGTCAGCCTCCTGGGCACCTGGATTGGAAAGGTGGGTCAGCGCTGGCACGCAGCGAGGGTGGGGGGGGCCGGGCCGGGCAGGTGTCTGGGACACCGCTGATCAGCTGCACCGTGTGTGTGCATGTGTGTTTCAGGGGACAGAGAGGTGGACGAGCAAATCCAGCCTTCTCCAGGTGCTCATCTCCATCCAAGGTACGGTGCGCAGGGTGGGGCTGGAGGGCATGGTCACTCTGGCCGTGGCCCCTTTTACCTCCCGTCTGTGGCTCTGACCTCCTCTTGGGGGTGGAGGTCGGCCGGCCTTGAGGGACTTCCCCTTCCCTCCTGCAGGTCTAATTCTGGTGAACGAACCATACTACAACGAGGCGGGCTTCGACAGCGACCGAGGCCTGCAGGAGGGCTATGAAAACAGCCGCTGCTACAACGAGATGGCCCTCATCCGCGTGGTGCAGTCCATGACCCAGCTGGTCCGGCGGCCGCCCGAGGTCTTCGAGCAGGAGATCCGGCAGCACTTCAGCACCGGCGGCTGGCGGCTGGTGAACCGCATCGAGTCCTGGCTGGAAACCCACGCCCTGCTGGAGAGGGCCCAGGCGCTGCCCAACGGGCTCCCCAAGGACAGCAGCTCGCCGGAGCTGCCGGCCGTGGCCGAGCTCTCGGACTTTAGCCGAGAGGAACCTGAGGACGGGGGGCTGGCCCCCGGGGAGGCCTCCCAGGGCTCAGACTCGGAGGGCCCAGCCTCAGCCAGCAGGGACCACATGGAACAGGCCTCGGAGGCCCCGCCCGACGCCTCAGTGCCACCCAGCGTCAAGCCAAAGAAGAGGAGAAAGAGTTACCGGAGCTTCCTGCCCGAGAAGAGCGGCTACCCTGACCTCGGCTTCCCCCTCTTCCCTCTTTCCAAGGGCTTCGTCAAGAGCATCCGGGGAGTCCTGACGCAGTTCCGGGCCGCGCTGACGGAGGCAGGCATGCCCGAGAGCGCGGGGGACAAGTAGCCAGCAGCCCCGGAGGAAGGCACGTTGCCACGGGGAGAGGCCGCCCCCCCTTCCCTCTCCTCCTCTGTCCCCAGTGCAGGCCCCCCGCCCTTTGCCCCCTCCTTCCCAAGGTGGGTTTGCTGCTGACACGCAGAAAGTTTCTTGAGATGCTGCCATTTGTATTCCGAAGCAATCTTCCAACAGGCAGGTGCCCTGTGGCAAAGGAAATCGGATCCGCGTGGCTGATTTTCCCCTCGTCCCAGGCAGCGTGCCCCGCGCTTCCTCCCTTGCCGTCTTGCCCTCAGGGCAGGGGTGGGCTCTCTCTGGCGGCTGACACAGGAGAATGCGGGCCACGTGGACGTGCCTTGCATGAAGTGTGGGTTGCTGCGGCGGTCGCCCCGGTCCCCCCTGCCCTCTTGAGTCCCGCTGACGCTTCCTGGTGTCCCAGGCCCTCCCGTCGCCACCACCCACCTGGTCTTCCCTCGCCCCCCAGCTCTGCCACCCTCCCCAGATCGGTGCCGCTGCCGCTGACTCCCGGCTGGGCCCTGGCCTGTTGAACTTGTTGTCTGCGAGAGGTGGGCACCAGGCCGGGTGCAGACGATGCCCGGGAGGTGGTGGCCCTCACACACTGCCGCGGGGTGAGGACAGGGAGCTGCTGCTGGGAAGACACAGCTGTAGGTGCCTTGCCCTTCCTGCCCCTCGGGGCGGGGGGACTGCAGCTCTGGCTTTAAGGCCCCCCTCCCGGTCCCCCAGAGGTGGGAGCAGCAGCACAGACGAGGGCCTCTCCCTCCGGTGTCCAGTGCTCATGCCAGAGGGGGCAGCATGCAGCTCACGGAACTCAGAGCAGGCCAGCCCTCTCCCCGCCCCGGCCGAGAGGACACAGCCTGCAGGCTGGACGCAGGAGAGCGGTGGCGGGCAGGGTTCTCCCTGCAGAGCCGGGCCCAGAGGTTTACAGGTTTTCTAAGCGTTTGATAATGTGAAGCTCCAGGTGAACAGGATGCCGTTGAGCACATTGCAGCTATGTAATTTTTGGTGTATGTAATGTAATATTTAAGGTTGAAAGAAAATAAATCAAAAAATATTAACTCTTACTAGGAAAAAAAAAAAAAGACAATAAGAAGCCAAAGCATGACGTGTCTTGCCCGCCTTACGCTGGCGCCACACCTGGGCCGCCGCGAGCACGCGGCTGGCAGCAGCGCGGGGAAGGACGGGGCCCGGACCCGGGCTGCGGCGACCGGAGCCCGGAGTCGGGCTCTTATTTGAGGATCACCGGAGTGACTGGCGGGGCTGTGCTTCCCAGTGCATTGTTCACGTGGAGATGTGAATGCCTACTGCTTAAGATATCTGTATAAAGTGCTGTGTGATTAAACTTTTTTTTTTTTTTACTTGCATTTTTTTTGGTTTGGCTCATTACAATGTACAAAACAGACAAGGTGGTACCATTAAACCTGCCTCTGCCATTCATTTGGGCTCTGTCGCCTTTCTTCCCCTCGGGGGCACCTCACACACCCTCCCCAGGGGAAGGAAAGATTCCTGTGGCTGGGGCCAGGGGAGGGGAGGCGTCTAAAGGCAGCCGCCCCTTCCCCACCCAGCCCCCTCCCAAGCCTCTTCGTCTCCCATCAAGGACTCACAGGGGCCGGGAGCTGAGGGTCTAGCAGTTCAGTGGGTGGGTTCTCTTGCCTCTGAGCAGGGCCTGGGTCCTGGAGCCACCTTCCAGCAGGGCAGCAGCAGCAGCTCTGGTCCCCAGGGGCCTCTGACCAGGTCCACCAGTTCAGCTCCTTCCAGATGCGGGGGGGGGGGGGGGGGGGGCTGGCTTGGGTTCGAAGCCACTCTGGATGGCTGGAATCTGCCCCTTCTCACTGCTGCTTCCTTTTAAACCCCAGCCCACCACTCCCCCACAAGGACAGACTGGAGGAGGGCAGGGGAGGCAGGGGGAGCCCCAGAGCCCTCCCTGGAGAGATACAGATTCCTTGTAAAGCGGGAACAGCTGTCTGCTATTTTGACCTCTGTTGCCCCTTGCCAATTTTCCCCAGTGCCCCTAACTCGGGGACATTCTCCCTTTTGGCTGAGATTCTCTGGCTGTATGGCCCTAGGTAAGACATACTTGCTCTAAACCTCAGTTTTCTACCTGTGCAAAGAGGCAGTTGGCTCCAGGCCAGAAGGGGTATAATCACCACTGGGGCAGGGTCCCACCCCATGCAAAAGCAGCCTAGACCAGCTCTGGTCCTGTGCTCACTACCAAAATGACTTCCCAGGGGCCGGTACCACACGCTGCCCTATCCAGGAAGGACCTCTTTTGGGCATCACGTTAAATTCCAGAGCCCCAACAGAAGCAAGACCCCACTCCCCTCACCCCCTAGGATAAGACCAGCAGGCTGGGAATGTCACTTTATTCGGATCTGATTCAAGGGTGGCTTCCCTGCTCCTAGTCCAACACTCCATCTGGCCTTTGGTGGGCAGAGCCTGTCCTTCCCACTCTTCTCCAGGCGTCTCCCTCCTCCTCCTCCCAACTCACCACCTGCGCTGCGGATAGGCCCTCCAGTCCTGGCGGAGGGAGAAAGGGGTGGGGGGCCTGAGTGCAGAGTAAACCAAGTAGACAAAGGTACGGAGTCACCGGCGCTCTGCTGGGGGCGGCCTCTGCTGAGACTTCCTGCGGGGGGAGGGCTGCGGTTTCAGAGAGGGTGGGGACTCCCTGCAGCCACTGACCATCCAGAAGTAGTTGGGGAGAACCTGGCCCTGGACAGCCCCGCTGATCAGTAGTTCCCCATCCACAGCAAACACACCCTTGCCGTCCTTGGGCTCCAGGCGGAAGGCGACCACGGGCACGTACACCAGGTGGGGGCAGTGGTACTCCATGTGCCTGCCTTTCTCCATGGCCAGGAAGAGGCGCAGCAGCGTGGCCCGGGACACGCCGGCGCGCACGTAGAACAGGTGCATGGCGCCGGCCGAACAGCGGCCCATGGGGGCGGTGAAAAGCTCACTGGCCAGGTGGGAGTGCAGGAGCGCCAACACCAGCACAAAGTCCTGCTCGGGCACCACCGTCCAGTGAGGGGGCACTGGCTGCTCCAGCGGCACCACGTGGGTGTCCGCGGGGCCCTGCGGGGCCCGAGCCGGGGAGGGTGCCCCCCTGGAGGCCAGCGTTTCTGCGGGCAGGTAGGCCAGGCTGCCCCGGTAGGTGCGCAGGGCCGCCAGGCGCAGGCAGGTGCCCAGAGTGAAGCGCATCTCGCCCAGCCGCCGAAACTTCTCGCTCTCCAGATCCACGTCGGCGATGAAACCCCACGCCAGGCTGAGCACGGAGAAGAGGCGCTGCCCGCAGGCGGTCTGCAGGGATAGCAGGTCCATGGGCGCCAGCAGCCGGCGGCACAGCAGCTGGGTGCAGTTGGTCAGGAGGTCTTCGTTCGTCACCTGCTCGTACCTGCAGGGGAGGGAGTCGGATGAGAAGGGCAGGAGCCCTCACATGCCCTCCCCTTCCTCCTCCTGGGGAGCTGGGGCAGGCCAAAGTGACCCTGAGCCCCTGAGGGAGTTGGCAGGGGGTGACAGCCAACTGGAGTCACAGAGAGAGAGGACCCCAGAACAGAGGCTCAGGGCTCCAGAGACCAGTGGTAGTCACTCCTGCTCGCGGACACTCCTAAAAGAAAGCCTGGCAGCAGGCGTGGCCCCCAGGGAAAACAAGCCCACTCGGACCCTGGGCTCTCACCCGGCGTAATGGTTCAAAGAAGCGGCCATCGCATTGCCAGAGCCGGCTGGAAGGCTACACAGGGGCTTCTGGATGGCGGTCTCCCAGTCAGGCCGCTCCATGAGCCCGTTCACCACCTGTTGGAGCACAGGCGGCCTCAGCCTGGGAACCTTCCCCCACCCCACCCCGGACCCCACGACCCAGGCCCAGCCTCCCCTGGGAAGGCTTCACCTCGTGGATCAGCCCGTCTCCGGACATGACCACCAGCGCGTCCCAGCGTCGCAGGTCCTCGGCGCGCACCAGCTCCCGGGCGTGGTTCCGCCGCTCTGTGCAGAGGGCGTGGCTATCAAGGTGGGAGGTTGGAGTCGCGGTTCCCCGGCTGGGGATGCTCCCCGCGCCCGCTCCGGGGGAGACACTCACCAGTGAGCATCAGCGTGAAGGAGACGTCGGCCTGGGCCAGCAGCGGCTGCACGTGGCTCCAGAAGAGCTGCAGGGCTTTGCCCTTGCCCCCGCGCGGATTTAACAGCACCAGCACGTGGCAGGGCCTTGGGAGCGGGTTCCGGGAGCCGCCCGCTGTAAACACAAACCGGAACCCGCCACTAGGGGCTGAGGATCACAATCCGGGCACCCGGGTGGAAACGCGGGGCCTGAAATCCACGGGTAGTTGATCCAACTGAGCCCGGCCAGCGACAGCGGCCTCCAGCGGGGCGCTCCAGCGGGAGCTTCACGCTCCACACCCAGCCAGCTTGACTGGGCTCAAATTCCCACCAGTTTCTGGTCTCGTGGGGAAAAGGGCTTCTCTCCAGGGTCCCGGCCCCTCTTTTGTTCACTTGACTCCGGCCAACTTTCCTCACCAGGGAGACAAGGGATCCCCCTACGGGCCTTCCCCGCCAAGCCCCCACAAACCTGCATCCATGACCTCGGCCCGTGGCCCCCGCTGCCGAGGGGTCCCCGACGCTGTCCGGACGCTGTCCGCCGCGGTGGCTCTTGACTTCAGCTCCTTATCGGTGCTGCCCAGGCGGGCGTCTTGGTGACGGCTGTGGGGCTCGCCCTCCCCGTCCGTTGCCGTGGTTCTGGGGGCACCCGTGTCATTCCCTGCGGTTGCCGGATCTGAGGGAGAGGAGACCGCACTGGTGGAGTCTGGAGCGGTACCCTTAGGTGGGGGGCGCCCCGTTAGGTCCTGGGACCACGCTCGGGAACCCGCGCGCACCGGCATCGCCTAGTTTTCCGAGAGGTCCAGAAAGCCGAGGTCCAATGCCACCAAGGGCGCTCGGGTCCTGGAACTGAGCCCCCACCCCACCCCTCCGGGGGGAAAGGGTCTTTCCCCGAGAGCCTATCTTTTCTAGGACCTCGGGTTCCGGCCCGACGATGAGTCAGAGGCCCGTGGCTCTCTCCGTGGGATCAAGTCCTCACGCCCCTCCCCGGGGGCCGCCGGGGGAGGGGAGTCCAGTTGCGTTAAAAAATCCCAGGTGGTGAGTGGCTATCGCAGCGCGCGAAGTTCGGGGCGAGCTATCCTCGGCCCAAAACAGCCGGGTCGTCGGGTCCTGTACCCCGAGATCTGGAGCGGCCCGAATCGCCGCGCGCGTTTCCAAGGGCCAGGTTCTGCGGCGCCGCGCGCAGCGCTCGTGGAAGCGTCGCTGGAGTCGCGCGAAAGCTGAGCCGGAGCCGGGCCGCCAGCCACCGCCTCCCTCAGCCAGAGCCGAGTGGGCACGGAGGCCATGTGCTGCACGGCGGCTCCCCCGGCCGCCCAGGAAGCCAAGAAGGGCGAGAGGGCAGGGCAGGCGGCCAGCCCTACCCAGTCGGTCCAGTTTCCTGGGGAAGCGCTACCTCCGTTCCCCACAGTGGCCTAGGGCTGAACACAGCCGGTCCCGGGCTCAGTCTCGCATCTGTGGAGCAACCGGAGCGCCGAGTAAACGCTGACTGCGCGGCCTCGCTGCCTCCAGCCTCAAACTTTTCGCTCAACTTCGGGGAGGGCGCAGTGCCTAGCGTCCCGGCCTGGCCACGCCCCGCGGCCCTGGCGTTCGCGGGGGTGGAACCCGCGCCCCGCACGGCGCAAGCCAGCCGGGCCCTGGCCTCGGTGCTCCGCCCCCGCCAGGTCAGCGCCCACGGCTCGGCCAAGCGCGTAGCCCTTTGGCTGGGTCCGGGGACTCTCGGACCCAGAAGGAAGGTGAGCGCCGAGGTCGGGCAGAGACGTGGAGGCCGCTGGCGAGGCGCGGAGCCCCAGGCCCGGCACGAGCGGCGCGCCGCGGGCGCAGCGTCCCGGGCGCGCGAGGGTGAACGCGCATCACAGGCCGCGGCGCACAAAATCGGAGCGGCCCCCGGGTGGGGCTCCGGGCGCGCGTGGCTCAGGGCTCTCGTTAGATTCTCACCTGTCCCTGGATAGAGTCTCCTGGCGGAACCCGCCCCGCTGCCCGCGCCCCCCAATCCCACCCGGATTTCGAGGTCCAAGATCCGCCAGGTACCCCTCACTCCTTGCTGGGGCGTCTCTGCAGCTGCTCCCATCCTCCCCGAGTTATTTTAGCCTCCTGGACCGCACGGCCTTGGAGCCTCAGACGGAAGAGCCATCTCGGGAGGGGGGCCAGTAGGGCGGTGGGGGGGGCGGGGGGTGACGCGGTCCGGAGTGGGGGGCCTTGTTAAGAACCTCAAAAGTTGGGTGCTCTTCCCAGAGGACAACATCAAGGCTCGCCTGAGCCTGCGGGAGCTCCAGGCCCCGCGCCCCTCACCCACCTGAAAGGAACTTGACGGAGTAAACAGGCCTAGGCGACCCCACTCGGACTGGGGAGCCAAGCGCGGGGGCGTGTCCTCCGTCGCCTCCACTGGCTCAGCGGGGAGCTGCAAACTGGCCCGGGGCCTCGTGTGCCAATGGGGTGTGATAAACCGGCAAGTAAGTGTCCGACCTCAAAGTGTCCACGACCCACTCGAGTAAGCTCCCTGTGGGGTAGTGTGTGGCGACCCAGAGGAGGAAGTTGCCAAGTTTCTAAATCTAACCAAAGTCAGAAAAGATCAAAGCTCTGTAGGAGGCTGAGCTGGTGCAGGCCCCAGCTGCAGGGTGCTCACGCGCCCACACCTGCCCCCACCCGACACCCATTCACACGTCTCGTTTCCCGTCGCCCCTAAAAGTCGAGAAGAGGCAGGTCCCGGCACGGCTCCGAGGAACCCCTTTGCGAGAGGACCCAGGAGGCCCTGTTTCCCAACACCTGGCGGGGCCGGGCCCAGGTGTCCCCGGGTAGGGGAGAGGCTCGGGCTGGGACGCGTGGGTCCCGGGGCCGTTGGCCTGGCACGCGGCCGGCTGGTGGCCACCTCCGCCCCGCGCAGCTCTGGGGGCAGCCCTGGCTGGGTCGTGAGCGTCTCGAGCGCGTTCCGGGAAGGTGACTCAGCGATGCTTTCACGGGTCGAGAAACTCTGCGAAACTAGGAACCCGAGCGGGGAGCGGGAGCCGGGCGTCATCACCCTCTAGCAGCGCCGCGACCGGAGTCCACCGAGGTCTGATCTTGAACCTCCAGGCTCCCCACCCCCGCCCAGGAATCCCGCGCCGGGGGCCGACCGCCGCGCTGCAGCCGCAGTGCCGCGGTCACGCGACGCGGGGACGCCAGCGCCGGCGGGAGGAGGGGGCTCCTTGCGGGAGCCCGGGCTCGATAACTCGCCTCTCCTCTCCCCCTCCTCCCTCGCCTGCCTGCTCCTCCAGCCAGGACTACGGTCAAAGTCAGGGCTTTGGGCTCCTGGAAGACGCGGGACGCGGCGTGAGGCTCCCGGGGATCTTGGATCTTAGAGGGAGGACGGCCTCCCTCTTCTCCCCCCGAACGCTTCCATCAGTCCTGAGAAGCCGCTGCTTAAACCTCGGAGTCTGGTGGGACTCAGGCCCGGGAAGCGAGGACGTGGCCGTGCACGAGCCTAGTGAGAAAGCCCACCTGCCGCAGGGTCCCTCCGCCTCCCTGGCTGGAGCCCCCCGGGTCGTGCGGCCGCGCGGGGGCGGGGTTGACTGGAAACTGAGCGGCGAGGGAGGCGGGGCGGCCTGCTGGGTTGTTATCCGGCCTCCGGGAGCCCAGTGGGAGGGAGGTGAAGGGCAGAGCCCTCTGGCCCCGGTTCCAGTCCGCACAAAGGCTCCTCTGTCCTCCCGGCCGCCTCTCCCGCAGCCCCCGTCCCCACCCCCAAGGTCCCTGCTCTGCCCGCTTCATTCTCATCTGTCACCTCCTCCCTCCAGGCTCCCTCCCTCCGGGCCCACCCCGCCCCGCCCGCAGCCCTTCTCTAAAGAGCTTTATTTCATCTCCAGAGACCCTCATCAGTACCCATGGCCCAGGAGACCGGATTGGGCAAGAGGAAGATGCTTTTCCCCTTTTGATAACTGGGGGAAGTGAAACCCTGAGAGGTGAAGGGTCTTGCCTAACTGAGCCACTGAACCAGCTCCCTACAGAGCTGAGAAGCAAACCCAGATCCCAGCCCCCAGTCCGGGAGGCCCAGCTGACCCCAGGCTTCTAGCTGGCATTTGAGTATCCATCTGCTTCATGTGTTGCTTGCCACAGAGCTGCCTCACCCACCCCGCTGCTCAATCGCTCTGAGAAAGAGGAAGCATCTGGAAGCTCTATCCAGGCTTCATCCTCCAGGTTCTGATTAAGCAACTAGCTGCTGTGGCCAAAGGCCTGGCATGAGGCTTGATCTGTCCCGGTCACCAACCATCAGGTAACAGCTGTCTCACAGGTGAAAGAGACTGCTGTTCCAACTCCCCCAGTCACCCTGCCTCCTCCTTGTGGGCAGCCTCCCCAGCACACACCTGAGAATCCCTCCTTTTTTGTTCTTTTTCCAAAAAAAAAGCAAGCAGACATGCACTGGGCCCGGCCCAGCTCTCTGGAAACTTGGAGCCAAGGCTGCCAGATGGCAAATGACTTGCTTTTATTAGAAGAGGTTTCCTGCCATCTCCTTGGCTACCCACTCCAGTATTTATTCTTGCCTAGTGAATTCCATGGGCAGAGGAGCCTGGCGGGCAACAGCCCATGGGGTCGCAGAGAGTTGGACACGACTCAGCGACTAACATTCATGTGTTCATTCCTGCCATTTCACCTATTCCTGAGGTTCCAGCTTCCAGGCTGAACTGCAGGATCCGGAGGCCTGCCTTGACCTCAAGGGCTTTCTGCCTGGAAGGCTGCGAAAGGGAAAGGGAGGTGTCCGGCCTGGCAAACTGTTTTTAAGACTGGTCTCCTGGGATGGCCCCAGATGTGGTTTTCCATTCTGAAATCCCGGTGACCCTGCCATGCATTGAGGGTGGCATGCTGTGGGTGGAGGGATGTGCCCTGCATGGGCATGCAGGAGACCAGACTGGTCGCACGAGTTTCCTGACTTGCAGGCGGTGTTCCAAGTTTCTGTCTCTCCAGGTGTGGTGGGGTGAGCCTCGCTTTACCTCGGAGGTGGCCTCCTCCTCCACACGGGTGTCCTTGCCAAGGCTGCCAGCCAACGTCTCTTCTGGGCCTCTGGACTCTGCCTCCCACACACCCGGGACCTGCAGGCCTGCTCAGCGGGACACATCCTTTTCAGGGAAGTTCACTAGCACAGCCTCCCCGGAGAGGCCTCACCCCCGCCACTCATTTCAGCTGCGGGTCTGGGATCTGAAGGCATCTGTGTTAGTTTCCTCAAGTTGTCATAACAAGGTACCCCAGACTGGGTGACTTGGAAATTTACTGTGTCACAGTTCTTAAGAAATCCAAGATTAAGACGTCAGCAGGGTCGGTTCTTTTCGAGGCCTGTGTGGGGTGTCTTGTTCCAGGCTTCTCCCCTAGCTGCTAGTGGTTGACTGGCCAACTTTGGTGCTCCTTGACCTGTGTGTGCAGGCTTCCCAGGTGGTTCATCAGTAAAGAACCCACCTGTCAATGCAGGAGATGTGGCTTCAATCCCTGGGTCTGGAAGATCGCCGGCAGGAGGGCATGGCAACCCACTCCAGTATTCTTGCCTGGGAAATCCCACGGACAGAGGAGGCCAGCGGGCTACAGACCATGGGGTCACAAATTGGACACGACTGAGCACGCACGCATAACCTGTGCACGCATCACGCAAGCTCTGCCTTGGTCACCACATGGCCCTCTTCCCTGGTGAAGGATTTGGCTGAAATTTGTTGTTTCAGGGTCTGCATTATCTTCTGCGGGCCTGTTCTTTTTCGAATGCAAATTACTCTGGGAGGAAAACCCAGTTAGTTACGAGAACTCTAGAGTGAATGGATGTATCACTTTTTAAACTAAAAAAAAAAAAAAAAATTTAACAGTACTAGGTGTCTCCAGAGAGGACAACAGTGCACGCTCCTGTGGGTATCAGAGGAAAGGGATCTGGGAACTGGACCTGCCCGCCTCCCACTGTTGGGGGAACTTGTTTACATCTATGCTGCCAGTTGACCTTGCCCAGGCTTGCACACCTCCCCAGCTCCGCCGACTTTTAGATCTTACCCTGCACCTCAGCTTATGGCATCTCTGGTTTTCTGAGTAGGCAGGTTTCCTCCGCAGTCCTTGGAAGAACAAAGCTGGTTTTTGTGTTAGTGTCCTGGGTTCTCATTGCTGTACCGATTTCTCATCTTGCACTTCTGGAGGTCACAAGTTTAGAATGGATTGGCAGGGCTGAGCTGCCTTCCTGTTCTAGCTTCTAAAAGCACCTGCATTCCTTGGCTGCGGATCCCTTCTTTCACCTCCGTGCTGGCAGTCTAGCATCTCCAAGTCTCCATCTGACTTTTGCTTCTGTTGTCACATCTTCTCTGACTCTGACCTTCCTGTGCTGTGCTAACTCATTTCAATTGTGTCTGACTCTTTGTGACCCTAAGGACTGTAGCCTTCCAGGCTCCTCTGTCCATGGGATTCTCCAGGCAAGAATACTGGAGTGGGTTGCCATTTCCTCCTCCAGGGGAATCTTCCCCACTCAGGGGATTGAACCTGAGTCTCTTACATCTCCTGCATTGGTACAAGGGATCTTTACCACTAGCGCCACCCGGGAAGCTCCCAGATCTTCCTGAAAGTGAAAGTCGCTCAGTCGTCTCAGACTCTTTGCGCCCCCACGGACTAAGCAGTCCATGGAATTCTCCAGGCCAGAATACTAGAGTGGGGAGCCTATACCTTCTCCAGGGGATCTTCCCAACCCAGGGATCGAACCCAGGTCTCCCGCATTGCGGGCGGCTTCTTTACCAGCTGAGCCACCAGAGAAGTCCAAGAATACTGGAGTGGGGAGCCTGTCCCTGCTCCAGGGGATCTTCTCCACCCAGGGATTGAACTGGAGTCCCCTGCATTGCAGGCGGATTCTTTACCAGCTGAGCTACCAGGGAAACCCCCAGATCTTCCTACCTCCCTCTTGTAAGCTCTCCTGTCTGTGATGACATTGGCCCTACCTGGCTAACCAAGGCTGAGCTCCCCTTTAAAAAGCCTTAATTTAATTTAACTTAGCCACAACTGCAAAATCGCTTTTGCCATATAAGGTAACGTAGTCATGGGTCACATGGAACCATGACGCAGACATCTTTGGGGGCTGTTATTTTGCCAGCCACAGTGGGGCAGGGAATGTCTGGGAATCATGTCCTTATTGGCGCCAGAACCTTCTTTCCAGCATTCCGCATCTCCGCAGTGCTACCAGCGGAACACAAACCAGGAACTTGGTTTCCCCCAATTCGCATTACTCATGGTGGGACCAAAAACACTCCTGCTGAGGTCGTTGACACGTGATTCTGTAGACTTTGTGGTCTTTGACTCATCAGACAGAGGCCCCTGCAAAGAACACCGGTTTCCATTTTTAAAAACTGCACAGGAGGAAAAAAAGAAATTGCCCAAGAAGAAGCAATTGGCATATTTACTAAACATAGGAATTATAGGCTTGCAAATGACTTTTCACCTGAGGAAAGGGTGGGGCGCAGACCTGCCCATCCATTTCCAGCTTGGCAGACTTCCCCACTCTGCCGGAAGGGCTTGCCACCGGCCCAGCCTACTGGGTACCACACAAAAGACGTGGTCCTCTCAGCTCCTGTCATGAAGCCCGACAGTCCAGCTACTTTTACACTCTGTGGTGAGGCTGGACCAGGCCAGCCATATGGAGAACGGTGGCTGGGAATATTCCATAGGTTCTTGCTGACATCAGCTCCGGTTTGGGCTCTATAGCGGGCTCTGGCCTGTCTCCAGCACCCAGTCCCACATCCTGGACACTGGTGAGGGGAGAGAAGGTCCCCGTCTGAGGCTGCAGCCAGCCCCCACCCTACCCAACTGTGTTTTTCTTTTTAAAGAAATAATTTTATTTATTTTTGAATGAGCTGGGTGTTTATCCCAGTGCACAGACGTCTTTTTCTAGTTGCCACTCCTAGTTGTGTGCAGGCTTCTCACTGCGGTGGCTTCTCTCGTTGTGGAGCACGGGCTCTGGAGCACACTGGCTTCAGTAATTTGGGCGAGTGGGTTCAGTTGCTGCGGCTCCTGGGCTCCAGAGGACAGGTGCCATAGTTG